TATCTTTAGTTAATAAGTAAAATTATAGCTGCAGAATAATTTAATACATAGTGTCAATAAATAGGGCGAAGTATCAGTTTATCTGCTTTTCAACTTAACCTTAATAAAAAAGACGAAAGTAAATTTAAATACAATGAAATGTGAATAGAAGAGCGTGCATAATACATTCTGAATTTAATGACTGGACATTTTACGCAAACCCAAAGTAAAACTAAGTATATCAACTATGTCGAAACAGTGGACAATAATTACAAAAATAATAAAAATAATAAACAGTGGACGATCATTATAAAAATAATATTAGAGAAATGAGCCAAATATTATCAAGATTAACGTTCATCAAGCAATAATTTTTTTAATTTCTTTTTAAAGTTAATTAATGAAAAATTATTAAACTCGTCCGGCAAATTGTTGTATTCCTTAGGTGCAATATAACAGAAACTCCTAGTGTACAGAGCAGTGGCGTGGCGAAGAATTTCAAGCAAATGGGCATAACCGGTATCAAAATTCGAAATATTTTTGTAAAGTTTGTGTAGTTTATTAAATAAATATGGCGGGGACTGAGTACTTAAGACTTTATGAATATTACATTGTAAGTGTAATTTACGAAGTTTATCAAGCTTCAAATGATTAGAGTTGTGAATCAAGTTAGCAATACCACTATCCATTTTTTATACCAAAAGCAAATCTGAAGCAACAATTCTGAATTCTCTGTAAACGTGCCAAATAAGTCTTTAAAAGTGCGGGTCCATAGACAGGAATTCAAAAACGCAATAATATACAGGATGTTTTATTTAAAATAACAAAGTTATGTGGCGCTCACGCGAAATGGAACACCCTGTAAAGCTAAAAATATTTCCTTTACGTGGCCCACATGATTCCAGACAACTTTTATTAAAACCATTTATTTATAAATTTTACAGTTGCAGAGTTACAAAAAATTGCCTCTTAAATGGAACACCCTGTATATGAATGACGATTTCAAAGATTTAGGAAAAAATTTCATATTACAGCCGGACGCCTATAATTATTGACAAAAATTTTGCATCTACTGTAGTTTTTCAAATGTTTTTACCTTTTGTTGAGAATGTCAATATTTAAGCAGATTATTATCATATATCCTCAAACGTATTTGCTTCCAAATTAGTTCTAAGCAGAGATGAAATATTTATAACTCATATGGTAAAATTATAATACTAAGCGGGAATCCAAACACTTCGAATTTAACTGGAGCATATCCGATGCAAATTGCACGACAGACGTCGATACTCTTTTTTTTAGTTTGCACATCAGGGTTCGAGTGTTTCCGAGAAGTAAGTAATTAACGGGTTAAGTAGTTTGAATATTCATAAGCCCGGATGAGACTTCGAGATGCGAATATGGTAATGAAATTACTTCTAGTCATATTATCAAATTTTCGAGGTGTATAAAGTTTGCTTCATTATTAAACTAGCTAATTTAAAATATAACGAATTCAATTCCAGTTGTTGTCTTAAATAAAATAAACGCTCATTGCAGTTACTGAGCGCAGTAGCGTGTTGTTTGGAAAGAAGTTGGCCGACTTTACAACTCCTCGACTAGTAGTTTTGTGTACGGATAAATTTCAGTTTCAGTTTTGCTAACGCCTGGGAAGTTGAAATAAAATAAAGATTTTCAAATGGTTTCAGTGAAAGAGATGTAACCTGCATCAAATACAGGCCCTTACAAATTCGCTTCTCACTACAGGGATCTCGAAAACGGTAAGAGATACTAGCTAGCTTAAAGGGGGCAAAGTTGCATAATCAGGGGATCAACATTATGCCTTTAAAAAGTCAAAGCTAACATGATTAGTTTTCGAAATATTTAAAAAAAACGAAATTTTGGAAATCCTTCTTTGTTTCATTTCAGCCTTGTTTGGGGTGATTTTGAAAAAAGAAGAACACTTTCTCATGACCACTTTTTGCCCTCTATCAAATAGTATAATCAATGTTTATATGTAATATTTCGTCTCTCCAGGATCATCATCAATTTAAATACGACCCTACAAATTTTATTACATTTTTTGCAAACCTTCGTGACCCCCAATACTGTACTGTCTCAGTCCGAACCAGATTCAGACGCTTTGTCTCGAAAAATTCATCTTCTGTGTATTCGTTACAAATTTATCTAAATTTTTTATTTAGATTTCTTTGTTTATTGAATCTGACATGCTATTTCACAGTTGCGAATAAATTCTGATGCAAAAATGTTTAACAAATTTTTAAAAGTACCTAATTTATCCGAGTTTTTAGTTTATTTATTGGGCTACATTAATACATATCATGGTAGCAAGTCAAAGAAGCACACAATCATAAAAAACAATTTAAGAAAATACAACTAAATCACTAGACTAATTGAAGTACACATTGACCTTTTCGCTTTATCTTGGAACCTATGCATTTTGGAAGAATATTGAAGAGGAAAAAAGTTTTAGAATTGAATTTTGCACAATATACTGTAAGTTAAACATGTTAAATTTATTACCGAATAGCAATAATTGACGAAAAAAAGGCAAAATAATCAAGTTTTTTGGATAATTTTTTTAAAATATTTTAATTGCTCCGAGAGCATTCTAATTTTGGTAAAAAAAACTTTTGAATATAATAAAACAACCCACCAAATTTCATTAAAATCGGTTCTATAGATTTCGCAAAATAACTAAAAAAAGAAGTTTTGAAATTTTGTTTTCGAATTTTCAAGATGTACAGCCTCAAATAAAGCATCTAGATACTTGAAAATTTTTCATATAGAAAAGACCGCTCAACCTCCGCAGTAAATTTTTAAAGTTAACCCTCTTTTTTTATTTTTAAAGAATTAGATTGCATTTATCAATTTGCAATTTACTTTTTTCAAAAATTATAATTTTAATAAAAAAGTTATAACAATTTCACAAGCCAACATGATTTTTTATCGTTGTTGTAAAACAAAATTTCGCAAGCAACTTTTCATTATTTTAGATAATAATAATCAATCGAATGACATAGGAAAAAATTGTTTTAGTATTAAATCATAAAAAAGTAACGATCAAAACATTCAAATTGTTATAACTTTTTTATTAAAAATTAAAAAAATATCTAGTTTACATTTTTTAGAGTACATTGAAAAAAAATATATAAAATTCATTCATTTTTCTGCTTGTTATGATTTTTTAAATTTCTGAAATCATCCCTTAACTTCTAGTCTCCTTAACTCTGTTAATTTTAAGAGTACAAGAAAAAGTCAATAGACCATATTTATGTAGAATTTTATGCTCTACAACTTTTATAAAAATCTTTTTGTTCTTGCACTTACCCCTTTTGAGTTATCCTGAAAAACCCCTTTATGTTATCTTTTTTCACCCCTGGACAGTGATTGAAAAAAAATTTCCTGTCAATTATTGTTATTATATACCTGAAACTAACTTATATCAAAAATTCAGGCAAGTTGACCAAAATTGCGATTTAAAGGCTCATTTAATTGGACCATAATTCAAAATATAGTTCCGTCCTTTCATCTGCAAGTTATTGATCGATTAAATCGAAATTTTGGTCAACTTGCCTGAATTTTTGAAATGAGTTAGTTTGAGATAAATTATAACAATAAGTGACAGTAATTTTTTGTTCAACCCCCGGCCAAGGGTGAAAAAAGATAAAACAAAGGAGTTTTTCAAGATAACTCAAAAGGGGCAAGGGCTAAAAAAAAGTTTCTTATAAAAGTTGCAAAGCATACAATTCTCCATAAAAATGGCATCTTGGCTTTTTCTTGTACTATTAAAATTAACAGAGTTAGGGAGGCTAGAAGTTAAGGGAAGATTTCAGAATTTAAAAAAAAATCATAACAGGCAGAAAAACGAATGAATTTTGTATTTTTTTTTCAATCTACTTATTATTTTAAATTTCTGAAATCTTCCCTTAACTTCTAGCCTCCCTAACTCTGTTAATATTAATAATACAAGAAAAATTCAAGAGGCCATTTTGATGTAGAATTATATGCTTTACAACTTTTATACGACCAACTTTTTTTTCTAGCCCTTACCCGTTTTGGGTTATCTTGAAAAACCCCTTTGTTTTATCTTTTTTCACCCTTGGCCGGGGATTGAACAAAAAATTACTGTCAATTATTATTATAACATTCCTCAAACTAACTCATATCAAAAATTCAGGCAAGTTGACCAAAATTTCGATTTAAACGCTTATTTAATTGGACTAGTAGCCATGATAACATACAGCGAAAATGGAACAGATCATCGAAGCACGCAATAATACTCGTCCGCGATTGAATCCATTGGATACATACGAGATAACACAGAATATTTACCATCTAATACACACTGTTAGACATGAACAGGCAGGTGTGTATTATTGAGGCACGTCAAATATTGNGTTATAACTTTCTTATTAAAAATTAAAAAATATATCTATTTCTCTGAAAAGAAAGGTTACATTTTTTAGAGTAAATCGAAAAAAAAAATACAAAATTCATTCATTTTTCTGCTAATGATTTTTTTAAATTTCTGAAATCTTCCCTTAACTTCTAGCCTCCCTAACTCTGTTAATATTAATAATATAAGAAAAATTCAAGCGGCCATCATTTTTATGTAGAATTATATGCTTTACAACTTTTATACGAAACTTTTTTTTCTAGCCCTTACCCGTTTTGGGTTATCTTGGAAAACCCCTTTGTTTTATCTTTTTTCACCCTTGGCCGGGGATTGAACAAAAAATTACTGTCAATTATTATTATAACATTCCTCAAACTAACTCATATCAAAAATTCAGGCAAGTTGACCAAAATTTCGATTTAAAGGCTTATTTAATTGGACTAGTAGCTATGATAACCTACAGCGAAAATGGAACAGATCATCGAAGCACGCAATAATACTCGTCCGCGATTGAATCCATTGGATACATACGAGATAACACAGAATATTTACCATCTAATACACACTGTTAGACATGAACAGGCAGGTGTGTATTATTGAGGCACGTCAAATATTGACTTACCTGCGGGGAGAATGTAAAACAAACAGGGGGTCTGTTGGCGTCCTACGTTATTTGTAGCCCAGCACGATAGGGATTCGACGTCGTCGCTGCCTGGCGTGAAGTGTAGGATAGAGACGTTCCCGTGATTTTGCATTTTTCCGCTTTGAACCGGGAGGACCCCTCTGCTGGTGTTATAAGTCCAGGAGAAGCGGCTAACGCTGGGAATGGCATCTACGTGACACTGAACAACTAGGGTCTCATAGGGGAGGGCCCCGACTCTCATGATTTCGTAACCTTTCTTACATCGCGGAGAGTCTGGAAAAAGGTTTTATGTTTTTATTAAGGTGGTTAAAATCAAGTATACTTTCTACGGGATATGAGAGAATGAACTAATTAAACCTTAGCGTACAGAAATATAAAAGTACCTCAAAAATAACTCATAAGTAGAGCACTGTATTAGCTATGTTCGCTGCTTTGATATTCAAGTTAAAAACGGCCAATGTTGCGAACACACACAGAGCTATGCCGTATGTGTTCGTTAAGCTAGCTACATACATTAAAAACAGTCTTATGTTGAGACCACACAGTTCGCTACACTTGACATACACGTTAAAAATGGGCAACATCAACATGCGGAGAATTATGTTCGTTATGTTCGCAATACTTGCTATGTTCGCTGTATGTAACAAAACTATTTTTATGTGTCTATACACACAGTACGCAATGTTATCTACACTGGACATACTTGTTAAAACAGTTGATACGATATCATGACCATGCAGAGCGCTGTGCTAGCTGTATTAGCTATGTGTTCTAAAAATAGAACCACACGTTACACTAGCTCGTTCGTGACGTTTGATATACACGTTAAAAATGTGTAAAATCATCATGAAGGGGATTATGCTAGCTACGTTCGTTATATTCGCTACGTTCGCCATGCTCGATATGTTCGCTATATAGAACAAAATTATTTGTATTCAATGCTATCTACACTGGACATACTCGTTAAAAACATTCGATATCATGGCCACACAGAGCGCTATGTTCGCTAGCCGTGTTCGCTGTGTTCTAAAAATAGAAACCATACTCTTATATTTAAGACCACACGTTATACTAGCTTGTGCGTTAGCTACGTTTAAATACCCACGTTAAAATGGGGAAAATCGCCATGCAGAGGATTATGCTAGTTATGTTCGTTATGTTCGCCATGCTCGCTATGTTCGCTTCATGGAACAAAATCATTTGTATGCAATGCTATCTACGCTGGACATACTCGTTAAAAACATTCGATATCATGGCCATACAGAGCGCTATGTTCGCTAGTCGTGTTCGCTGTATTCTAAAAATAGAAACCATACTTTTATATTTAAGACCACACGTTATACTAGCTGGTTCGTTATCTACGTTTAATACCCACGTTAAAATGGGCAAAATCACCATGCAGAGGATTATGCTAGCTATGTTCGTTATGTTCGCTATGTTCGTTATGTTCGATATGTTCGCCATGCTCGCTATGTTCGCTATATAGAACAAAATTATTTGTATGCAATGCTATCTACGCTGGACATACTTGTTAAAAACATTCGATATCATGGCCACACAGAGCGCTATGGTCGCTAGCCTTGTTCGCTGTATTCTAAAAATAGAAACCATACTTTTATATTTAAGACCACGCGTTATACTAACTGGTTCGTTACCTACGTTTAATACCCACGTTAAAATGGGCCTAGCTATGTTCGTTATGTTCGTTATGTTCGCTATATTCGCCATGCTCGCTATGTTCGCTACATGAAACAAAATTATTTGTATGCAATGCTATCTACGGTGGATATGCTTATTAAAAACATTCGATATCATGGCCACACAGTGCGCTATGTTCCCTAGCCGTGTTCGCTGTATTCTAAAAATAGAAACCATACTTTTTTATATTTAAGACCACACGTTATACTAGCTGGTTCGTTATCTACGTTTAATACCCAAGTTAAAATGGGCAAAATCACCATGCAGAGGATTATGTTAGCTATGTTCGTTATGTTCGCTATGTTCGCTACATGGAACAAAATTATTTGTATGCAATGCTGTCTACGCTGCACATACTTGTTAAAAACATTCGATGTTATGGCCACATAAAGCGCTGTGCTAGCCGTGTTCGCTATGTGTTCCATAAATAGAAACTATACTATATATATATTTGAGACCACACGACCAACTTGCTGGTTCGTGACATTTAATATGCGCGTTAAAATGGGCAAAATCACCATGCGGATTATGCCAGCTATGTCTATACACACAGTACGCAATGCTATCTACGCTGAACATAATTGTTAAAAATATTCGATATGAAGGCCACACAGAGAGCTGTGCTAGCTTTGTTCGCTATGTGTTCTAAAAATAGAAACCATACTTTTATATTTAAGACCACACGTTATACTAGCTGCTTCATGACGTTTAATATACACGTTAAAATGGGCAAAATCACCATGCAGAGGATTATGCTAGTTATGTTCGCTATGTTTGGTATGCTCACTATGTTCGCTGTACGCAAAAAAAGCTATTTTTGTGTGTCTATACACACAGTACGCTGGACATACTTGTTAAAATCATTTTATATCATGGTCACACAGAACGCTGTGCTGAGCTATGTTCGCTATGTGTCCTAAAAATAGAAACCATACTTTTATATTAAAGACCACACATACTAGCTGGTTCGTTACGTTTGTGTACACATTAAAATCAGTCAATATTACGACCACCAAGAGGGTCTTGCTAGCTATGTTCGCTATGTTCGCTTTAGCTTCATAGTGCGCTATGATAGCTAGTTAGTGCGCCCCGTTTGAAATGTATATTAAAGACCGCCGATATCGATTTTATTTCCTACGAAATTTACTAGTGCTTCTGTCTGTTCAAAATTTCAATTCGAGGTGTTCGATGTTTTAAACAAACTGCGCAAGTAATAGAACTAAGGAAACCTTTCTCTCCAGACATTTTTCTTTCCCGATACAACCAGAGCCCTGCGGATCTAACGCAATTCCTGGCATATCCGGCCGCTATCAGACGTGCCCCCGGAATCTTCTGGTTTCATAAATAAGTGGGATTTATTGCGACATGCACTCCGTGACTCCACTTCTCGGCTTCACTCAGCTGCAGATGATGGCATGGTGTCACACACTCACTCCTTCGAATTTATCATTTTTTGTGCCCGATGTATAACTGTAAAAGCGCACTCTATCCTAGTCCGCTGACAGGGCGAAATTTAAGGTCCGGATTTATAAATTATTGAAAAAAATACTATTTATGGGATAGAATACAGGGTGCTTGATGAAAGTCCATTGTAACACTGAATGGCGGTGAGTGTGATGGTATAAATTAGAAACCTTTTTAATTCAGTATAATAGTTATTTACACCATAAAAGAGGTAAGTATTATTTAACAGTCGAGGACGATTTTGCGCCCGAGCGGAGCTAGGGCTGGCAATAGAGTCCGAGACTGGTAAATTGTACTTAACTGCTGCGTGGTGTATAACACTTTATCTGCTCCTACAGTTCTTTACGGTTCATGAAATAAAGGTTAGGTTTTATTTTTTGACATTTCTTAATCAATTCACTTTGACATTACTCGAAGTCTTGCAAAGTCGCCTTGGTTGTTTGGATTTTGTCGTTTCTAAGGTGTTTATAAACAAAGCCACATAAAATATACCCTTTCAAGATTCCTAATAATATTGCACAATTTTTGAAACTAGAATCCTGAAACATATACAGGCCATTAATTCCGAAGAACATCGGCAACGTTATTGGCTAATACGGGAGTTGATGTATTAGCAATCAGGAGACATGGTGGGTGGAAAACAGCCACAACTGTAGAAAGATATGTTGCTGACAGTTTAAGTAACAAAATGAAATAGCCAACAGGATTCTTTACAATGATATTTCAACTCCAGCTTCTAGTAGTACGTCGCATCATGCTATTTTAATGGATCAATCAGATAGTATTGAGCGTCCGGTGACTGAAATAGAGCGGTCAAATTATTTTGAGAAGATTGTGACAATTAGTAAACGCAAGGGGAACAATTATCCAGATTTTATAAATTAAATGTTACTAAATCTAATAACTGTACAGTTACTATAAATATTCATTAATAATAATTATTTGTTCATAACATATGCATTTATAACTCAACATCGCATTTTTCCCTAGGAAAGTAAGTTACGTCACTTACCTCCCGTTGTCCATAGCAACTTCCATTTCTACGTTAAAATCCACTTACCTCCTTAAAAGCAATGTATTTATAGTCTATTTACTATAATAGTAGCAGATACACATTTTTTCCGTTTCAGACAAGTTTCGGTTGTTATGCCATCATCAGGGAAAAGAGGAAAATAACCTTGGATGGTTAAAAATGGATAGTTGAATTATATTTTCTTGAGAGAACTTGAGACATCAAAGTGAAATCCAACTTCGAATGGAGTCACCAAGAAAGTTGGTTCTAGGTACCATATTTTGTATTGACTGAAGAAAGGTAAATGGCATAACAAAGAAAGACAGTTATCCACCACCTAGAATCGAGGCACATTGCAAAAGCAAAATATTCCTCTTCTGGAACAGGTTTGTGTCACTTCATTGTCATGCCTTTTGGCCTACGCAATGCTCCAGCATTCTCTTTCTTTTGTCCAAGATGTTATAATTTGTTTTCATTGCTTTAAAAATGTATATCAAAATAAAAATTAGTCTATTTTACGTATTTTCTTTCTTCGATTGTTAGCCTTTTAATAACCTTATTAAAGATGATCCAATTCATTTAAATCGTTGAAAATATTTTGTTTCGCATAAATTTCTCAATTTTGCTTACAACTAATTATTGAACTGAACTATTTAATTTCTCTCTTCCAATATCTTCTATAGTTGCGAGTAATTTAATTACAAATATTTAAGTTCCCCCGAACCATTAGTTATTAAAAAGCTTTGAAATTGTTGTTTCAATCACGAGCCGCACCGTAGGCAAGTTTGAAATAACTTCCGTCTTATTGATCTTAAATATAAAGATAAAATCCAAGTAAGCGAATGAAAATTGAATAGCGGAGATTCCACCGTTGGAGGTAGAGAATTGAAAATTAATCAAACGTAGGTTAAGTTATTTAACGACGCGTACAAAGGGAGTTTTGGCAGGCGACGTTCGGGCATAATGAAATGTCTACAATCCACGTTTCGATATTCGACATCTGTTCTATGATTAAAATCGTCCTCCTTATGGTTATCAGAGCAATTCCAGATATCGAACTATTGTAATCTAACTACGTGGAGTATTGCCGTCTAGGAAG